TCGCCAGCCAGCCGTTCCCCGCGGCCGCCCCAGAGCCGCCAGGGCCCCGGGCCGGGGGGCTCGCCTGGCGCGGGATGGCGGATTTCGATGAGATCTACGAGGAGGAGGAGGACGAGGAGCGGGCCCTGGAGGAGCAGCTGCTGAAGTACTCGCCCGACCCGGTGGTGGTCCGCGGCTCCGGTCACGTCACCGTGTAAGGCCCTGCGAGGGCTGGGACGAGGACGGGAGGCGCGGGCTGGGTGGGCCCCAGGACCCTCTCGGAGTCCTCTTTTTCCTTGAACCCCCGTCCCCCGGTGACGGGCGCGGGACGGGGGGGCCTTCTGGAAACGCCGGCGACCAGGAAGTGAGAACTTGCTCTGTTTCCATTTGTTTAGGACTCCCAAATGGGGACAGGCACTGCCTTGCCTCCCCTCCCTCCCATAGTCCTGGAGCAGGCCCCACGGCCCGGGGGGGATGTGTGGGATCCCAACAGGGAAGATGGACTGCTTTATGGGCCGTCCCTTCGGCCTAGGGATGGAAGTGCCTATATGTTTTATGGGATCCACCTTGGTAAACCACCCCCTCCCCGCTATTCTTCGGGACTGTGCCATACAGTCTATTGACATATGGCTCAGAGGTCAGATCTGGGGTGTAAGACCCCAGTGGCAATTGGTAAGTGAGGTTTACCGTGTCGTGTCTGTCACACATACCCACAGGGCTTCCCAGTTCCCTAAGAGTAAATTTTTGCAAAACTAATTCAAGTCTCTGCCATTATATGTAATGGAAATATACAGGTGGACATCAAAGTAGGCAGAAAGATACATGTTTGCAGCGAGCTACAGGTACTGAGTTTCCTGTAGTCGTTCTGCTTTGGGGCAGGACTCTCGGTTGTCTTCTTGTTTGATAAGGGGTTCCTGTCAGGCTTATTAGCAACATCAAAAGCCCAATATTATTCAGATAATAAGGGATGAAAGCACCCTGAAAGGTCATGACTAATAAAGGAATGTGTAGACTTGAAGCAAATAGTGAGCTGTCCGGAAGGAGGAAGTTTTCTAAGTTTTGTAACATTTCCCTGATAAAGCCCGGAGTTTGTACAGCTTGGGCTATTGGATACTCTTTTGCAGCTGGTATCTCGGGCTAAAAGTCATAGCTCAAACTTCCTGTCCTTACATATCGCTTCATCACTGATATAAAAAGGCAGCGAGGCTGAAGATGTCTGGAGCACTTCTCGTTGTGTTTTGATGTAGGGTGAGTGGGCTGTGCTGTGAATAAGTCAGTGAGTGAAACAGCGAGACTCTTCATTGGATTGTCAGCAGAGTCCTTCCATTTCTCAGGGTTGCTGAGAGCAGTCACACAGACTAGCCATGTTGTTGTTTGGGGATGCTTATGTAATGCTTTGGTTTCTTAGCACCTGTTAAGTGTGTATTTAGGTGACTTAACAGGGCAAAAACACTGCATAATCATTGTCCCATTACCTGGATAAGGAGAGGGGACTTGCACCATAATAACAGCTGTTTTAACTGTCATTACACGCTTAATTAAGGAATATAGCCGATTATGAATAATACAACTTAAATGTCTATCACAGTGTTTTTAGTGTCATAACCTGCTATTTAATTTTTAGTTTGACTCTTAGGACTTTTTTCTTCTTGTTTTAAACTTAAGGACTATGGGTGCTTTAAGAAGCAATTACTAACAAAAAATGGACGTGGTGGCGTTTGTCTCATCCCAGCACTCAGGAGGCAGAGGCAGGTGGATCTGTGAGTTACAGGCCAGTCAGGGCTACATAGAGAGACCCTGGCTCAAAAGGATTTCCAAACTTTTTCATGTTGTCTGTGATGGTCCTTAAAATCCTCACGTCAAATCAAAGCTGGCTGAATTTTATTTACAAAGGTTCAGCCAGGGCTGGGGACGAGGCTCAGTTGTAGAGTGCTTGCCCTGGGTTCAGAACAGCACAACAAAAAGATTCACATGTAGTTGTAATGTCTCTTTTCAAGAAGAAAAGCTAAACACTTAGTTGGGAAATAGAATAGGCAAAGTGCTCAGATGGTCAGTAACTTTTGGTTGTAGTTGACTATTCGGAGTAGTTAACAGAATGGGAAGTAATTATTGCTTTTCATCTTATCTGTTAAAATCACCTGGCATTGTGCTCAAATACACACTAGCCTCTTTATCATTATCAGTACTGCCAATTGCAAGTCTAACAGTGATTCGTTTAGTTAGTTAATCTGCCCATTAAAATCATCTGGGGAGCCCCAACATTTGCTCCACCCCCTTTCCAGGCCAGTAGTCCACAAATGATGAGGCTCTGGTACGTGATCAGGTGGGGGAGAGTCTTATAGGTGATGCTGATCTGTAGCTAGGACCTCTGCTCTGGACACCGGTGATGGTGGTGTTTGCTCACAGTAGCAGTAAGCCTTAATATGTTTGTGATCTTCCTCAGACACGTCTTTGACAGTTTGGTTGTAACCTTCTTCCACCACTTATATAAATTACCCATCTCTGTCTCTTCAGTTCACATGATGATAGCTGTGTTCAGACCTTTTTAGATTAAGGATTAAGTGAGCTAATGAATGTAAAGAATGCACCAGTGTGCTGCTGTGCTCAGGGAATATTAGCCTTTATTGATTATTACCCTCCTTAGGTAATTTTCTACTTTGAGAAAGATATGTGTAAAATACAGCATTAAGAAATCAGCATTGGGCTGGGCGGTGGTGCGCACACCTTCAATCCCTGCATTTGCCAGCATGGGCTACAGAGTTAGTTCCAGGAAAGGTGCAAAGCTACACAGAGAAACCCTGTCTTGAAAAACAACCCCCCCCCCAAAAAAAAAAAATCAGCGTTGGAGCTGAAGAGATGGCTCAGTGGTTAAGAGCACTGGCTGTTCTTCTAGAGGACCTGTGTTCAGTTCCCAGCACCCATGGCATCTTACAACTTCTGTAACTTCAGTTCTAGGGGACCTGACACCCTCACACAGACATACATGCAGTCAAAACACCAATACACATGAATTAAAAATATATTATTTAAAGAAAGAGAAATTAGCATTGCCATTTTTAAACCAAACAGTGATTCATTTAGTTAATTCTTTTTTTATTCTGAAACAGCTTGTATATATAAGAATCTTGGTGCACTGAAAATCTAAGCCTGTTTTGTGGTGATCTAGATTTGTATAGTAATATAAAACTTACATATGGCCATCGTACATAATATTAGGCATACTAGATTGTATAGCAAAGTTAGCCCCTGCAAAGGTTTTTGAAATGGGTGTTCGTTCATGTGCTATTATAACTGTTGAATGTGTTTCATTTTCCTTTCCTTTATAAGTATAAACAGGAAAGCTGTTAATAATTATAGTAAAACATGGGCTGGAGAGATGGCATTTGTTGCTCTTACAGAGGGCTGGGTTTAGTTCTCAGCACCCACTTGGTAGCTTACAACCATCCATATTCCAGTAACAGAGGATCCAACAGCTGCTTCTGACTCCCATGAGCACTAGGCATGCCCTTGGGGCACAGACATACATGCAGGCAAAACACTCATACACAAAAATAAAATAAATCTTTAAACAATTAAAAATCACAGTAAACCATGAAGCTTACTCCCCATTTTAGCAGAGAAGTTGGTGAAAGCACTCTTCCCTGGTCACTTGGAAAGTAAATGGTGTTCTAAACAGATTACAGTGTCATTGTTAATCCAGGCCAGACTCAAAAGATTCAGATCTATGTGGATGCTCCCCTTTGCAGCTGAGTATTTCCAGTTTTTAAAATTACTTATTTTTATTTTATATGCATTGATTTACCTGCATGTATGTCTGTGTAAGGGTGTCAAATCCCCTAGAACTGGAGTTACAGACAGTTGTAAGCTGCCATGTGGATGCTGGGAATTGAATTCAGGTTTTCTGGAAAAGCAGCCAATGGTCTTAATCCACCGCTGAGCTCTCTCTCCAGCCCCTATTTCTAATTTTTTTTTTAAAGTTAATAAGCTCACTGTTACTCTTAGGAATCTTTATTTTTTTGTGATATGTTTTTTCTTGATATTTTAGATTAGTAGAATTTTTTTCATTGTTAGATTTGCATGTAGCATTTAAGAAAAATAATGTGTAGACTCCTATTTTGAAGGAAAATCATATATGGGAGAAGAAAATGAAAATTCCCATGGTTTCATAGTATTTACATTCATATAATTTGAAAGACTTGAATTACAAAAGTATATTTTCTTTTTTTCTTTGACTTCTTATCATGTAATGAAAATAAAGAGAAAAATGACAAGCGTACTAGATAGTGTGGGTCAGACCTGTTACTGTTCCTTTTTTATTTGAAGGATGTAAGTATGTTTATTTCTTTTTTTAAAAAAAGATTTATTTATTTATTTATTTAGAACACAGAAGAGGGTACCAGATCTCATTACAGATGGTTGTGAGCCACCATGTGGGTGCTGGGAATTGAACTCAGGACCTCTGGAAGAGCAGTCGGTGCTCTTAACCTCTGAGCCATCTCTCCAGCCCTGTTTATTTCTTTAGTAGTGGGAAGCGGCCTGACACGACTGATAGCTGTTCCCATATTCACCGCTAAACAGATGGGTGAGTCCCGGGGAAGCACTGTATCACATAATACATTAGTGTTGGCAGTTTACTCCAGTCCATTTCTTTTACACGCTGAAGCACCTTCATTAGGTTGCTTGATGGGACAGAACCACAGGAAAGCCATGTGCCCAGGGGCAGCCAACTTGCAGCCAGTCAGGTTGGTGGCCACTCTGACCGTGTTGAAGGGCAGCTTAGGAGCCAGGCAGGCAGGGTCTAGGGGCTGGGCCCAGAAACTGAAAGGGACATGCAAATGGTGTCGTTTCCTGGATAACGCTGGTTTATAATTTTAAATTTTGTAGTTCTTTATCTCAGAATAAAATATATTGCTAATTTATTGGAGACTTTGATTTTTTTCATCAGTTATTGACTTGGTGTGCATGTGTGTGGGCACATATGCTCTTGTGGAAGTGAGGGTGCCCTCCGTGTGGGTCCTCGTCAAGCTTGGCAGCAGGCATGCTCGCCTGCTGAGCCGTCTTTGCAGCCCGACTTTGATTTGTTACAAGGAAGATAACTCTTCTTTTGGTTTGTTTGTCGAGACAGGGTTTTTCTGTGGGACTGTCCTGGAACTCACTCTGTAGACCAGGCTGGCCTCGAACTCACAGAGATCCGCCTGCCTCTGCCTCCCGAGT